ATTGCCATGGCTCAACGAAGCCTTTCGCCCTCTTGGCCTCTTGGGTTTCCGTCATTGTGATCGGCTTTGGCTTTGCCAGGCCCCGGCCTTCTTTGCGCGGGTGGAGGCAGGCGGGCGGCAGCTCATTTGGGCGGCTTGGCCGGGACTTATGGTACCGCAGCTTGTTGGTGTTCACAGGGGAAGCATCACTAGGTGGTGCAGGATTTCGTCCATCCACAGTATGATGCAAGTTTGCCCTTGAGCTAAGGAGCTGCTAGGAGTTCTGTAAGGGCACTGTGGGCGAGTCATCGTTTGCCAATGCATCGCTAGCCGCAAGAGGCTCAACACCGGCAAACACAACGGCAAAACCCTACAACCAACAAGGATGATGATTGGGGTTTCCTGCTGGGTTCCATTCTTCTTTCCGCATTCATACTATAGTTATTGCATGTATATGTGAGAGCCAAATTTGGTGTACACATAGAGATCAGCTTAAGGCCAACATACGTCCAAATGAGGGGGTTGCGGGAGGGGGCTGACCGAAAGCCTGTGAAAGGCAAATGCAGGGCTTCCAGTCCCTTGTTTGGGCTTGCAATTCGGCCCCTTTTCTCCCCCCATAAACAGCACCGCACACAAAGGTTACGGTACGGATCACGTGATGTGCACCTTATGGGGGTCGCTTGAATTGGGCCCCCAAAGGTTCCTACAGAGTTAGGGAAGCCTCTTACTGGGGCTCCTGTTCACTAGTGCTTTCTCGTGTGACACGTGACCGGACCAAAGGATGGCTGTGACATGATCCCAGTTTCTGACTTGGATGACCCCTCGACAAAATCTAGATAGTTGGCCGAGAATTAAGCCCGGTTTTGGGGTGCCTGAACTTCGTACTTTTTGATGAAACCAATTCAGCGGGAAGCAGAACGTAGCTGTTGGGGCCATTCCAAACACAATTAAGGGCCTTTCTTGCGAACTTGGCAACATGGGAACGCACCACCCCCCAGCAAGCCAACCTAGCAATTGGAGGGGAAGCCAGTTGGGTCAAATGGCATGCAGAAATTTGTCCCATCCACTTTCCCCGTAAGGGATACTTGATGTGGCTTGCAAACCTTTGCCCTGCAATCCAAGGCAGAGCCACTGGAGCCCAACATGTCACATGTCTTGGAAGCCGCGTTCCAGGTTGCCGCGACTCGTCGGAATTGGTGTGCTGGGCCTCCCTTGGCATTTAAAGGTTCACTTGCGGAAAAAAAACACACGCAGCGCTGCATTTTTGTTCTCGGCGGCGAAGGGTGCGGTAGCGCAGGACCTCAAGGGGATGAGTTGTTCAAATATGCAACTTCGGTCCCGCTAGGGTGTCTGGTGCTTTTGGAGGGGGTCTGGAAAAACACCTTATTTAGCACCCATTGATTAATCAGTCCGGGGCCCCCCAAAATCTTTATTTGGGGAACATTTATTAATCGTAGGTCCTACGTGGACATTAGGGTGGTGCATCGAGGGCCCGGATGATTTCGCATGTCCGAGGCTGAAAGGAGCTGCCCGAAATGAATCAACACGGATCCAAAGACTCCCTTTCGCCGGTTTGGGGGGGGGAAATTTTGTCCAAAGGCGCACAAGCCAACAAGAAAGCATGAGGCGGAGCATTCAAGACGACCCCCAAAGCTATGATGGAACTGGACTGCGCTTCCAACCGGTGGCTTGACACTTGCCTCCCTTCGCAAGTGCACCCGCGCCAGCCACGTTTTCGATGCTTGCGTTTACGGGTTCTCAACTTTTTTAGACCAGGTTCCCCCAACTTTATTTTAATAAGGTTTATGATGAAGCTTCAGTTGGCCTTTGTTTAACTTCAGTTTCTGAAAGGGCGTCTTTTTGTTCCATCCACGATGCGGAAGCTGGACATCCGCAAGGTGTTTGGCGTTGCAAATTTTCGCGCAGGAGGTGCCGGACATCTATGCATCCTCGCGGGCCTTCTTTTTGGAGCTTAGGCGCAAGTCCCGGCAACCCCATGGGGGTCCGGAAGGGAGGGGACCGAATTCTGGGGTTCCGTAGGCAGTTTTATGTAGCAGAGCCAGCAAGTGTGATATTATGTGTAATGTTCTTACTCCAGCACTAATCAGGGTGGTCCTCCGAATTGATTCGAAGATCAGATGTAGGCCAAGGCTTGGGCCCTGCAACAATGGACCTCATTTTCAGCTGCTGCAAGTTCAACTGAGTTCCATCGACGGCCCAACTTGGCATTTGCTCAAGTTCAAGCGAGCTTCGACAACATGTAGTTGGCGCATAGGCATGTTATTCCAATGCCCCCCCCATTACTTGCTAGTGCTCAGGGAATGGGGGACTGACCCCCCAACCATTCCTTGTATTTCCTTTAAGGGGACTGGGTTCATGCCCACAGTCCCTGAGCACCGGCAAGCTTAGGCCTTAGGCAGCCCCCCCGAAAACTCCGGTGCCTTCAGGGCGGATGAGAAGCTGGTGGCCGCGCGTGCGGTGGCAGCGCCCGCCTGGCGGCAAGTGGAGGCGGACGTGAGGCCTGCAAGCCGGGGCGCTTGCGCGGGGAGCGTGGCCATGGAAGGTGACAGGGGAGTCCTTTTAAAGGGGAAGTGAGGTTCCATGGATAGAAAATCTGCCCCAGAGTGATTCTTTGTCGTGTTTTGTTTGAGGTATGCGAGCTTTGCCCAGTTTTTTTATTATTTGGCAATGCAATGTCCTGGCTTTTTGGCTGCAAGTGAGCTTAATCTTTGAGTTGCCAGTCTTTGAGGGACTGGAATTTTATTGTTGGAACCACGGCCCAGCAAGTTCTCAACCCTATTGTGGGTCACCAGGAAAGTCATTTTTGGGACTCCGGGTTGAGCTTTTCCGCTAAACATGAACATGGTAAACACACGTGCCGCGTGGGTAATCCTGCAAATTTTGAATACATCAAACAACTCGGTGTCCTCCAGTCATTCTGCAGGTGCAGCTCACGCCGCGCCGGGGACGCCTTCAACGTGCTGACGTTTCACATCCACTTGAGCACGCCCATTACCCAGGAGCTGGGGTCTCTTAAGAGGGTTTTCGCTTATCGGCTGGTTTAAGCATCACCTTTTGGGCCTTTTCAGATGAGGTTTCTCTTGGTGTGGTGATGTATGAGGGTAAATGTCGGGAGCCCTGCAAGAAGCTTGGTTTCGGGCCTTGGAACTTGATTTGCAGAAGCCACCGGTCAACATCGACAAACTTAGCTTTCCTTTTTGCCTTTTGGATTTTCGTACATGTTCTGGTTTGATTTGCAAACAATATTGTTGGTGGTCCGAGTCTAACCCTGGCGCAGACCAGCACAACCAATACAAGTTTGCATGTTCAATCATTTTCTTTGCCTTGGAGACAAGTAGTGACCCACTCCTAAGGAGAGGCTTCACCCAGACAAGAAACATGGACCTCCTTTTCGACCCATCATCGGATCATTTCTACCTTTGGAACGGATCGTGGGCCCCAACAGGTCATGGCTTCACTTGCTTTTCCGGAACTCGCAAGAGCATGAGATGCTCACCCGATGCTTGATGTGGGTGCTATATTTCTCTTGGAGTACCTTGCCCCGAAAGAGTCCAAGTTGAGGATCTCATTTCCAGCGGTTTCCGGACTGTCTTACTTGTTTGTTACTTTTTGTTGGTAGGTGTGTTTGCTATCTTAAGCCCCGAAAAGTTTGCCCTGTTTTTCTCTGCGAAGACCATTCATTCATTCAGGTCTGTCTGGAACTCAACAACTGTGGTCGCCATGACGTCTCAAATCTCGAAACCACACAAAAGCTTCTCTACGTGGGCAAAAGGCATACATGACTTCCAGCAGGGAAACGATGTATCTCCTTGCAGAAGGAACATGGCGCAATGTCTCCAATGGACGGTCCCCAGGTTTCGAAGAACGGGTGCTTCGTATGACTTCCTCACTGGACCATGCTACAAATCAGCCTTCCTGGGCCAACCTGTTTTTTTTTGCTTTCGGGGCGAGTTTCTACAGCCGCGCAAAAAGAAACACTCGCCCAAGCCAGAACCGGCTTTTGGCCATGCAGAGCTTCCTGGTTTCTGAGGCTGGTTGGGGCTTGGTCAGGACGGGGTGCTGGTGATCCAAGCGGACCACTTTGGCCTGGTGCTCTCCTGCCCAGTGGAGGCAATTCCTGTCCTCAAGTGCCCAAAAATTGCTTCCTTGAGCCGGAGTGGAAAGGGGGGGGAGGGTTTGCCACCACAATATATAGCCAATATGTAAAGGGAGACTCTTAGGCTCAGTTTCTGTGATGCCAAGTTGTAATCCCCTGCAAAGTGATGGGAATATGTTGGCATCACAGATTTCGGGTGTTCCACGGGAGGTCCTCTCCGGGTCGGCGGCCATTTCCTGCAGCGCGGGCAAGCTGGGCATGGGGGGCTTGCCCGCCTGGCTGCTGCGGCCCCAGAGTCCTGGAGACCTGCAGGGCTGGCTGCTGCTGGCGGCACAGGCGGCCTATTGCCCTCCAAATCATCTGGGTAAATCACTTCATCCCGAGGAGGGGGAGATAGTCCACTCAAGAATGAGGGAAAAGATTGGCACTCCCTTCTGGCTCGTGACCAGACGAGCCTGTCAAAGAAGAGGCTCAAAGTCGTTACACGCAGGCCCTCCCACCCACCTGTGGTCAAGGGGTGAAACAGACTGCGTATGCTGCCAGGTGTGGACTGACCGTGTGCCCTTGTTCTTCTCTTACGAACATGACTTGGTTTGCTTTGAAGTATTGCATTACCCCGCAATGCCTGCTCTGGCTATGGATTGGGGAGCTTTAGGTTGGCCAGTTACCTGGCATTGATGCGCCACTTGAGTTTCTAGCGAGTCGGTTTTGCACCTGAAAGAGGTTTCCTTCTTGGTTCATTTCAAGTCAAATAGGTCCTTTGGGCAGAAGAAGTGGTCGGCAAAACTTGGACCTTTCGCGGTCAAACAAATGGCCATGCTGGGCGCGCCGTCCATCGCATGGCGTGCCGCTTGGCGTGCTTGAGTGTGTGTGCAGGTGTGTGTGTGTGTGTGTCTTCTTGGCGGCTGACATGCATCTTGTTCCCAAGTGTTCTCCCAGTCTAGGGGGCTCCAATTCGGAAGCGGTCGCAAAGACTGCCTGCTGGATTCCATAACCCTAGTTTGCGCGGATGCCAAGGCTGTTTTCAAGACAGGTGGCAAAAGGACATCTTTGCCCTCCACTTAAGGTGGGCGATAGCGGCTTGTCAAAGATGTAACAAGCGCGGGATAGAATGAATGGGTTGCACGTTGTCACCGCTTCTGGCCCTTTAAGAACCTGAGACCCGCAAGCCCCGGCTTGCGCCTTGCGCCCGCGAGGCCTCCAATCCCAAAAGCGAAGTCCGGTTGGCCTGGACCATCGGCAGCTTCCACAGCCCGGGAGGCCTGAAAGCGGGGGGACGAGCCAAACCGGAGATGACCATTCACCCTTTTACCAACGAGCGGACGAGTGATGCGCCGATTTCAGAAATTTTTGGCCAAGATGGAAGGAATACATGCAGCACATAGGGCATAGTGAGGAACCTGTTGAACCCTGGACTTTCCCAATTTGCCGCCGCACAATGTGACATGGGGCAGCCTGATTGCAAATTGGAGCCTCCTCACAGGCTCCCCAGGGCCAAGCTAAATCAGCCGTGAATTAGCCTTGCACTTGCTTTCCGATTGATTTTACCCAACTCATTCAGTCGATTGCGGAAGCGCATGAACGCTGTCGCTCCGGGATGAGCAGCCCAGGGATGGCAGTATTTTTCCCGCAGGCCAACGGATCCCAAATGGCTCCTCAATGGGGCGCCTCCACACCTAAATGATGTCCACCGCAGGTCCACTATTTACGTTCAAACCCAAATGTGAATGGGAGTGTCCAAGCGCCCAAGCTGCTAACGTGCTTCATTTCACTTGGAGGTCGCGTAGCTCCCAGAGATCGCTGGCAGGAGACTTTTGGCACGGCGACCTGTTGGACGCCCCGGTCACCGTGCTGGGTTGCCCGATCAGTTCCTTGGTGTGGATTTGTAGGGTTGATTCACAGCCTGGTTGTATTGGCCATGGTTTCCAACCACTTCTGGCTGAACGTTGTACATGTTCCAAAGCCTGGCAAGGGTTTATGTGGTGAGACATGCTGGAAAAGGCGCCCACTTCCCAACCCTTGGTGGAAGCGCGCTGTGGCTTCCACAAACAGACCGTCCCCAACCCCCTCGAATCCTCAGCTTCAATAGTTGTTGGAGGGACGGCCCAAAAGGAGTAAAGGAGCTGAGTTGGGGGTTTCTCAAAATCCGGGCCCCATAGACAGGGGTCATTCTTTTGACTGTTTCTGGGGGTTATCAAAGTCAGAAAATGGGGCTGTGTCCTTTTAACCCACCACTTAGGGGGTGACTTTGATTATGGTAAAACAACGGGGCCAGATAGAATGGTTGGTTTCCTTTGGTTTCCATGTGACCAACCAGAAGGCTCCAGCAGAAACTCCCTGCCGGCGCCGAGGTGAGGTGTTGCCGGCCTCTCTCCTCAGCTTCTCGGACGCCAGGCCTCACCAGCGAAGCGAGGCAGGGAGCAGCCACCCGATGACGGGTCTGCCGCTGGGGGCTTGAGAAGTATTGCAACCTTTGAGGGCCGCATAGTACTCTTTTTTTTTGGGGGGGGGCAGATCGGGAGAGCCTAGTCATTCGATATGTAGTAAGATTTTCAAGTTGGGCGAGCACTCTGCCCGTCTTGCGCCAGCCCAGGAAAGGACCCTGCCCCGTTTTTTAGGAGCTGGCGATTCGCTGAGCCATTGCTTTGCTCGAAGCCCAAGAAAGCTGTATAATCTTCCAGCCCACTTTCATGCTTCTTGGAAAGAGAATATGTAAGCAAAGGCAGGGTGGCAAAGGGTCCACGTGCGCGAGGTCGCCTTTACCTTTCAGCTACCGGCGGCGGCACCTGCTGGCTCCCTGCTCCTGCGGGCGCCCCCGGGGTATGTTGTGCAAGCGGCGCCCCGCCCAGAAGACGGGGAATCGGACTGCTGGGCCATTTTTTGCCACACCAAGCTGCTCAGCGCGTTTTGCCCATTGCTCGACTTTTTCCAGCACTGATGGCCCCAGGCATTGAATGCCAATACTTCATGAGTTTGAGCTGCCAGGAAAAACAAGCCGACCATAACAAGATTCACGATGAACCACACGCATTTGGATCCCTTGTTGCCAGTACCAGTACCGCCCAAACCAACGTGTGTTGGTTGATGCCATGCACGGCACAGAATGGGCGACTTCCAATCTTCTAGCAACATGTACATGGACAACAGGTAACAGGTTCTATGCCAAGGAACGTAACAAAAACGCTAACGCGAGAACGAGACTGAACAAAAGGATGCCCGTGAAGGCACTTGTCCGACAGTTGCCTCAGACAAACACTTGTCTGTCATGACACCCAGGCTGTGCAAATGGAGAGGGGTGCCCTTTAGAAATGAGCTGCGGTGTTCCACCGCCCTTCTGCGTCAAGACAAAGAGGAACATATGTTTTTTTCTCAAATCTCTGGCGAGCTCAGGGCACAAAGACGGTAACGCTTCTCATGACAAGGGATTAGTTCACGGATACTTGTTCTAGCCAGGTTGAGCTGGAGGCAAGTTGCAAGCTCGGGCCTTTGCTCCATCAAGAGGTGGGAAAAAGACACTAATGCTGAGCCCATATGAATCAGTGTGTTAATATGGAGGTGTTCCCCTCCAAAAGTGATGAATCCTCACTAAACCCGGCCCCTATTAATAAACTGGGGGTTGATTAATATGGGGTCAACGCTGGCACCCAGGACTGCTCGAGAGACGTCTTTGCCCTCGCCGGGAACCACAGCGGGTTGAACCACAGCACCTGCCTGGGGGACGGCTCCCTTGCGGAGCTGCCATTGCCTGAGGCGGAGGGGTGGGACGAAGGCCAGCCAGTGGGAGGCTGAGCCGCTTAAGTCTCACGAGGGGGCGGTCGTCCGATGCAAGTGAGTGAAGCAAGCCGCTTAAAAGACACAAACAGCTTGTATCCTTACCCGATAAGTACGGGCAAACTATAAAGTTACTTGGCGGCTGTTCATCCAGGAGGACGATGGAGATGGCTGGAACATCCAACTAGATGTCACGGAACGTGGGCACAAACAAAGAGTCGGTGCCCCAGGTAGAGCCATTTTCTGAAACATGTGTTGCGCTCTCAACATGAAAACCTGTGTGGGGGAATCTTTTTGATAGGACAGCAATGTTTGCATTGGCCAAGACCTTGGCTGCCAGGGCTTGCCTGTCGGGCTTTTCGGCTTTGGCCTGGCGGTGACGAACCCATCGGACCAGCCTGCCTTGCTCCTTGGACGTCGGACAGGGGGCAAACTGCGGGAAGCTCAACGCACGAACCCTCACTTAAATGTAATCCGCCCTCTTGCCTTGTGGCTCATATAGCCAACGAGGTTCCGGAGGAGGCCTTTTCCCAGCACTCCCTCTCAAGGTTTTGAAGGTTTCCTCTAGTTGTCGTCCAGCGAGGGCTGCCAGAGAAATGGGCAGTGCAGCTCTTCCAGAGCATTCTGAGCATGCCCCCTAAGGATCCGCAAGATATGCATAAGCAACAGGAGTTGAAGTTGTTTAAACATGACTAGTTAGCTCAATGTGTTTTTGTGGGTGTGGGGGTGGGGGTGGGGGTGGGGGTGGGGGTGGGTGTCGGTGTCGGTGTCGGTGTCGGTGTCGGTGTCGGTGTCGGTGTCGGTGTCGGTGGCGGTGTCGGTGTCGGTGGTCGGTGTCGGTGTCGGTGGTCGGTGTCGGTGTCGGTGTCTGTGTTTGTGTCTGTGTCTGTGTCTGTGTCTGTGTGTGTGTGTGTTTGTTTTTGGGGGACCCCATGTTGGTCGTTTTAGGGGACACCAACAGCAAAACCACATGTCAGAGGTCCCCTATTCTCATATCATTCTCACCACATACCCCATGTTTACTTGGCTGCTATGGGCAACAGTTGGATCGTTGACGTTTAGCTTCTGGTGACCATGTTTGTTGTGCCAGTAAAGTTTAGCTTTGTGCCAAACCGGTAGCCACGTGTAGAGAGAAGGTTGGCCCAAGCCTCACCCTGCGATCGTTCTTGAGCCGGTCCAGGAACTGGTGGAGCCTCGAGGTGGGCGGCTTCGGCAATTCCCTGGAGGGGCCTTTTGGACGCAGAGGAAATAGCCCAGGCAACCCTCTACCATGGCGAGCTCACTGATTCACGAGCTCACATATGAGAGTCTACTTGGGGATCCCTTCATTGCAGATTTTAGAAATGAGAAAATGCAGAGCCATGTGCTCCATCTTCCTGGATCTTGCCAAGCGTGCAGATACTCTAAGGCTTATGGTTTGCATCAGCTTGAATGCTTCACATTCCTTAGGGGTAGCCTTGCGCTTGGACAAGTTCGACTCTTTTAAACATGACCAGCCGGTGACCCCTGTCCCGAGCCCAAACCCAACTCCAAGTGGACCTCATTTCTTTCCTGTGAAGACCCAGTTGGTTGCGAGAAAGACCCGTGTCAGTGTCTAGCACACAGACCCTAACTCCAGGTATCCGCTGGCGCAGATCCGGTTCCCCCTACCGCTGCGTCCGGTGAACCAAGCCTTTGCCGCGCCCGGAACGCCCACAGAAGCGCCGGTCGGGGTCTTCTTCGCGCCTCGGCATGTGGACGAGCAACGGTGGACACAAGTTCATGGGCTCAGGGTACATTAACTGATCCCTCAGTCAATTGATGAGCCACCGGAACCTAGCTCGGACGGAATGCCGTTCCAATGCGGACACCGCCACCCCATTACGCAGCCAGAGTCTAGGAGTCTAGGATCCAGGCTCAACGGTTTTAGAGGATCCCCTCCTGAAGCAGGTGGTTTTCTGGGATGTTTCTTCCAAGGACCCGGATTTTGCGTGTTGGTTCCCGGTCAAAAACATGTTCGAGGTGCTTCAGCGGGCGCTTTGGCCCGGCGCAAAGCTCCGGATCTGGAGCCCCCAGCGCCTGGGCGCGGTGGCCACGTGGCCTACGCCCGGCAAGTGGGAGGCAGGAGGTTAGCCTTCGGTTTGAAGCCGAAAGATCGAATCGCATTGGACGATGAATCAAATGGGTTCTTCTTCTTTTTAGAGGGCTTGATTTCGGAGGTCCGAACTCGCACGTACTGACCCGTTGTCGGCCAGAAGCATCACTTTCTGGGATCAAAGGAGAAGTTTGCTTTGTTAGTTTTTTCCTTTAAAGGCTCGCCCTGAGCGAATTTCGGCCAGGGCAATGCCCGAACAACATTTTCTTGAAGCTGCCCCCAGCAACCCACAAAGGGCTGGCGCACAATCAGCCTCCCCTCTGGCCCTGCAGTCCTACAGACAGCCCGTTGAACTTGATCCTTCCAAACCCAAACTGCAAGGACCCCCGGCTTTCAAGCAGGCGACCAATACGAAAAACCGCATCCAGTAGCACCCGCATCCATCACACCGATCGCATCCGGTGCAGGTCGGCGCCAATGGCAGTGCCTGGGAGGTGCGGGTGCCAGACTTCCTGGCGCCTGGCTTCACCCATGGCCGGGGGTCCCGGCTGGGGTCCCTTTGCCATGCCAAAACCAGCACGTCCCCTGAAAAGCGCTTTCTTTTTTTTTTTGCGGACATGGGGGACATGGGTTGGAAAGCACGGAAGGGAGGGTAGGCAGAAGGTGGGAAGGGTACCCTTTGAGGCTTTACAAAACGACGTGTTCGCGGTGTAGGGGTTTGCGATCTCCCCGAAAGCCGGCATTGGGTCATGAAAGCTGCAGCCAGGTGGGAGATGTAGCCAGGGGTGTTCCCTGCTAAAAGGAAGACATTCCAGCAACACAATCCTGGTTTGATCAACCAAAGGCTTTTTGGTTCTTGCATAGAATTTGTGTACTTCCAGGAGTTGGCATAAATGTTCCTGTCCTATTCGATCATCCTGCAGCTGGAAGGGTGGGTCATTGCTCAATGAAACGTGGGGTTGTGATGGAGCAGCACTGTGCATCTTGGATGAGCAAGTTCCGGTGCGGTACTTTGTTTGGCTCCCTACATATCGCCCTGGGAACAATGAACCTGATGAGGGTTGTTGTCCGGGGCGCTATCTAGTACAAGATCTAAACACGCCATGTTAAGCTGGGGGCAAATGCTGAGGTAGTTACATCACTTCCACTTGCCGAATGGGTATGTTTTTCATTTTCCCCTGGTTTTCTACTGGACAGATTTTTGTAACACTTCCACGTGACGGAATCGGAAATGGAAGATCATCCTCCCGAGTCGGCCAGTCGGCCGTTTGCCGTCCGCCCGGCCAAGGCCTTTACGTCCTCGCCTCCAACCCGGCGGAGCAGAGCCCGGGATATTGGCCCCCTGGCGAGTGGGAGACCAACAAATCGCGCCGTCGATGACTTGCTGGTGCGCCGGGGCAATGAGGGAATGAACCGTTGTGGATTTTTTCTCATAGGAAACCACAAGGGATGGTTTATAAGTTGTAAGGGGCATTCCCCCATTCACTGCTGAGCACCAGCAAGATGAACGGGTACTCAAAGGGCATTGTCCTTCGTAAGTGGTTAGTAAGCCTGGTTCTTGCCAACTTACCATGATTACAAGTCTCCTAAGGGAGTCATAACCAGGCTTGCCAACCAAATGCAAAGTACCCTGCCGCTTTACGTATGTTTTAAACATAGGGGGAGGCAACACATGACGGGTTTTGCGTTTAATAGCCAAGCGTTGAACAGATCCCTCAAAAACCCAGACTCACATGAAACCTCCCAGCAATGAATCGGGGGGGGGGGGCGGAGTCTGAAAGAAGGAAATCACCACCAGCCATGATTGCAAGCAATTTGTGTGTTTAGCCGCTTGAGCACGTCACAGACCAGTTAGATGCAGCGAGTGCTGCACCTTCTATGTGTACATTCAGAGACGTGTATTCATCATACATATGCACATGTTACACACATATTATGTCACGCACACACGTACATATATAGATATATTATGTATCATGTACATATATTTGTTTGAATGGGTTGGGTTCGGCTAAGGGTTTCGTCCTTATGGTCAGAGTGCAAGGGACCCTCTGCACAAGGCAGAGTGCCTCAATCATTGAGGGTAGTCTCAAGCTCTAAGGATGCTGGAGACAATTTCTCCAGACGGACAGCCGTTGGATCAGGGCCAAGTGGAGACATTCACCATGTTCCCTGCGGCGGGGCTGAGTGTGGCATCTTGGCTGCCACATGCAAAGGGTGCCGAATATTTTGCGCCTTGTGACCTAGTGCCTTGCCGCCTGCAACAGCCCCTTTGCTTGGGCCTGGCATGCTAGCATTGCTCGTGATTGCCACCGGCCAACCATGCACTCCTCTTTTTCGGGGTAGATTGTCGACAAGAGAGCAGCACTTCCCAGTCGACTCCTAGATAAAACTGTGCAGGGCGTACCCGCCCTCGGGATAACATGGTGCATAAGCAAGCGAGCAAACGAGGTGAACCAGGGCACCGCGTACAGCCACAGGGAGGTGAGGGTGAGACTGGTGGCGATCTTGCCGTCCCCAGTCCTCTTTGGGGACGTGCTGCTTTTCGAGGCGCGGCGGCGCGGCCAACCCGTCGAATTTGGGTTTCGCTCTTTGTCGGGCAACAGAAGCCGAGTTGTTGAGTGGCAGCCCTTTTCCCTTCTTGTTTTCCGTTGGGGGATTCCCCGCTAAAGATGATCAACCGAAAAAAGAAGACCCCCTGAACAACGTGGGAGGGCAGCAAAGGGCTAAGCGCGGGCAAGCCTCTACACGTTCAGGCCTCGCTTTCTTCCATTTAGCGCTTGAGTGAAGGTTGCAAGGCAGCATCCTGGCACTTGCCGACGTCTTGGCCAACTGGCTTTTCTTTTGAGCTACTCGTAACTGGCTTTGAGTCATACGTGGGGCGAAATCATGATCCTGGCTTGGGTGTTAACATACCTCACCCCACATCACACACACACACACACCCTCAATATTGAAAATTCCTGGATCTTCACCCAGGACCCGACCGGCAGTTCCGTCAGTTTGGCCTCTCAGCTTCCGCCTCCAGACAGGCGCCCTTGGGCTTCCTCCTGGCCGACGTGCAGTGGGAGGACCGCTTGGCCTCCATCCCGCCCGCGGCGGAGCTCTCCTGCGCCTTCGGGCCCTGTCTCTCGGCCGAAAAGCGGCATTTCAGAGATGCGGCTCTCTGGAATCCTGGGTTGTTGGTGTTTGTTGGACACATCTTAAAAGGGTCTTTTGACCGACTTTTTGACTTTGTTTGATTGTTGATTTGGTGGGGGGCGGGGAGTGTGACTCGTTGGACAGCGGTAGGATAGAGTAGGGCGGGAAGCATGGGCAACCCTGCTTGAAGCGGGCGGTCGATGTGGGGATTCGGCATTGGGGTGTTGGTGTATGTTAGCTGTTTAGCTACCTAAAGGCGGCCCTCAATGGCACCAACACCCTCGTGGCTTTCTCAACATGTTAAGTAGGAACCTCTAAGAATCGTATGTTTCCTTGGGTTCCCCTTCAACCAGCCAATCAACAAGGGGTGGGGACAGGTAGCGCGGCGCTGAGCTTTGTGGCTGACTGGAAGCTGCAGCAGCTGCAGGACAGGGTCGGGATAGAGCGAGATTGGGAGCCAGCGGTAGGATAGAGCGATGGGGCTCAAATCATTTAAATGAATACGTTTCTCGGCGTTACCCTTCTTTTTGAGTTGGTTGAACAATATGCCCAAAGTCATCAAGTTAGTTGTCGGGTCCACCTACGGAAGGACCAGGAGAGTGGCCATTTCTCCTTTTTTATGTCCCACCTCTCCATCCCTCGACTAAGTGCCTGTCTTCACTCGCGCTCAATTTTTTGACACCCAAAATAGAGGCGAGGGGGAGAAATCCATTGCGTGGGGACCTGTGCGATTCTCTCATGAAGATTGTAAGTTTATATTGACTGATCGGACCCAGGATTGCCACACGGCAACTGATTCATGGGCCATGGGCCACTTTTTTTCGGGGGGGTGCGTGCAGTTGTATTCGCTGACTACTGTACCATGTTGATCCATGCCCGGTTCTTCCCGTTCCCTGAGCTCCAAGAACGGGCTCACCAAGTTGGGTGAAAGTAGATGTCACCAATTCCCCTTGGGTTGTGTCACCTTTCTCGCCCACCAGGGGAAAGGTGCCATCAGCCTTCGCCGATCTTCGCCGGGTCGTTTGGCTCCAAGGGTGGGGTGGCCTTCGCTGCCAGCCTGCCTCTGGCCCTCAGCGTCGCCTCCGTGAACCCGGGCAGCGGCTGGGCCCAGGGGCGCAGGCAACAAGCCACCGGGTGAGCAGGGCTCCGCGTGTTGCCCTTTTCGGGTGACTTAAATTCAAGCGTCTTTTGCATTTTTTTGAGTGAGTTGCATGTGTGATGCTGAACTTGTGAGCCAGCTGCGCAAGGAGGTTTCCCTGCAAGTACTTGTTTTCAAGAACCTCACCCGGTTCGAACTGTTCAGACCCACGTTCTCCCGCACTGCCGTGGCACCTGACGGTAAATAGCTTTGGGGATGAAACACTGGCTTCTTTGGTACATCCCCCCCAGCTGCAATTTTAGTGAGCAGTGAATCTGCGAATGGAATTGAGTACCTTTCAAGCGCTGGATTGCTTGCCCTAGTTCGGACGTAAAATTGTATGCTTTTCAAAAGACGCTCTCGCTGTGCGGGTCGAAGGGGTGACGCCGACAAGGTCGAGACACAAGTTGTGGTGCCGAATCGCAGAATTCAGACTTACGCAGGGTGGGGAGGGTTGTCAGGGTTGCTCTAGCTTTGATTTCGGATCTTTCGGTTTGCTTTAGAGGCTGGTACGGCTAGCAAGGTTGTCAAAAGTGAGGGGCGCTTTTCGGGTTGTGCCGCCCTAAGTTTGACCCCTCCTTTTGCTTTTGAAAACCCGTCTGGCTTGGCATCTATCAACCACGTCTGAGGAACTCCAGCTCCGGAGGAATCCTTCTGGCGACTCACGCACCTCAGGGATACGACGCTCTCCACTGCCGTAGTGGCCGGCCACCTGGCCGGCTCGGAAACGTGAAGGCTCGCAGGGGTCAGCCCCAGTTGAAAGAATGTGAACCCCCCCAATTTGGATGAAACTCCTAAGGTAAACAATGGTAGTTGCCAAACACGCCCTTTGTTTTCATGCTGGTTTGAATCGCAGGGTCGGTTTCCACCGACCCCCCCCGTTCGGGGGAAAGCGGGGTGTATACTCTTTAAGCTAGTGGCTTTGTTTGTATGATAGTTGTGGGCAAATCGGGGGCTTTGGTGGACCTTCAGGGGGGGCTGTAGGGCGGCTATTCCTGGATAGAACTAGCGCCAGCCGGCCTTGGACACGGGTTTCTGTTTGACATTGTTTTCCATCTATGGCCTATGGCCCCCCTGTTTGGAGCTCCAGGGGTCTATACCAAGGGAACCCCCCACAAGACGGAGTTTCCACCACGGCCTTTGATGGGGGCAGAGGGTGCATGGGGTCAAGTCCGTTTTGTATTGCCCCCAGATGGCTTCCAGGACGATCGCCGCATTCTGGAAGGCACCCCTTGATTGTCATGATTCTGTGATCAACCCTGAACTGGGAAGCTTGTGAACTCTCTCGTTCGTCACCAACACGTGAGAGTTGTTGGGCGCCTGCCACCATTTCGGTTTTGGTTCTACTTGGTGCTTTGGTTGGGGGAGAAAGTTGTGGAATCAACCGAAGGAAACCAACAGGAGATGAATCAATCAATAGTGGTTTCACCATATCTTCATGCTTTGACAAGTTCATCAGTTCATCCGATATGACCTGATTTGGTTAGCTTTTGCGCAGCAACCCTTCGAGCATTTCTGAGGCTGGCCAGTGCTGCCAGAGCTCCGGCAGGTGCAAGCGACTGAGCTGAATGTTGTTTTGTGGGTTTGACGTGGGTTTCTGTATGGCGATTTGGTTGGATCTATGGACTTCAATGTTTTGGTTAACAGAGGACTTTCCATTGGACCCACACAAAGTATTAAAAAAGGTCGATCTGCAAACAATACGACAATAAGTCGTCACTTAAACCGAGAAGCAAAATCAGAGGTGAGCCTCTTGGGCCCCAGCTACCGCGCGGGGGCGGCGGGGGACCTGCTCCTCAGCTTCGTGGCAGATGCCTGGCGCTATGGGCCTGAGCCATTTAATGAAGCGAACATTTTCCCCTGGGTTGAAATGCACTCTGTCACTAGTTTTCTTTTTTTCTCGGATAAACATCGCAGACGGAGGTCTTTGGTTTGCAAACCCATGGGGTTTCCATTGGAACAGATGCTCATGAGGGCTGCTCCAGATTTGAGTCTAAGGTCCTTCCAAATGGACAAGCCTAGCCTTGTGAAGGGATGGATTCTGGGATTTTGGGAATTTCCCTGTTTGCTTTTTTGTGATACGCTGGGGCCGTTGACACAGCACAGTCACGAGCCGATTTAGAGTATTCCCCTGAAACGCAGGTGGATTTTGGACGCATCCTTGTCGGATTGAATTATTGGGTCTAATTCTGGTCGGATTGAATTATTGGGTCTAGTTCTGGCCGCTTTGACTTTCATGCCTGGCTAGCGGCACGGCCCTTGCACCATTTACTGATCCAGAACCCATGGCAGGAGCCATTGAGCCCGAAAAAACGTGGCGAGTGCCGCTCACGAACCGAATTTGTCTTGCGGACGTTTGAAACCACCCCCCCGCCTCCCCCCAACCCCATGAGAACCACCCCCCGCCTTCGCTGCGAGAAGCGGTGGCTCAGGAGAGCTCGGCGGTGGCTGCGGTGTTGGTGGCCCATGCGCCGGGGGTGGCCTTCGACGGGGCTGAGGCGGCCTCCAAGGAATCCGCGGGTGGCGCGCGGGTTGCGGGTTTGGGGTTTGGCCGCGGGGGGGGGAGGGGGGCTGAGGAGTGCAGGCTACCCTTCATTGGTTTGGATGGGTTGTGAAAGGTTGTTTGGAAGGTCCAATGGAAGAGGCGACTAGCCGATGAAACGGCTGTGGCCTCGGTACATGAACTTGAGCCACAGGGCATGACATCTGAGCCGGCACAAGAGAACGGATCCCGGCAAGTTGAAAAAGGGCAGGCAAGTGCGTGAATGCAAAACCGCTCCCAAAAGGCGAAGGAAGCGGCTGCATGGCCGGTCCAAGGCAAAACCCCGCTTCGCGGGAAAAGCACCTTGGAAGCAGGGGCTTTGTTTGGACATGGATTTGAGTCGGGGGGACCCTCTCGAAAAAAGACTTACCCTGTCTCCCACCAACATGGCACCTGACAGGGGCTTTCCAGATGCACAGATGCTGGCGCCATGATGGGAGGAAGGGCATTTGGAGGGACCTCGTCTCTCGAGAGGACGCGGCCACCTCGGGGCCCACACTGGTGCTCAGCGGCCTGAGCCTGGTGGAGGGGCTGGTTACCTCGAGCCTCGGCGTTTCCCAGGGTCTGTACATGAATGTGTCTTTTTTGGAGGGTTTAGGGGGAAACCAACGAGAATCTGAGAAACTCACTTTGTTTGGGTCCCCTTGAGGAAAAGAGACACAACCATGTGTCCCTTTAAAGCCAGGTTTTAACATGGCTTGTTTAAGAACCACGGCTCAGTAACTGCTTTCGGCCCGCGTTGCAAAACTTTCCGAGGCGGGGGTGGGGGGTGGGTTCGGCTGGGGTTTTGCGTGGCCACTTGGCCCTATGTCGCTCGCCGCAATAGCTACCTTCTTGACAGTGTTTGGGTTTGAATCTGGGAAATCGACTTCCACCTTTGCAATATGGATAAAACGGGCCAAAGGCACTACGGCCAAACAAAGACCATGGGAGCCACCCACTAACATGGAACCTGGGAGGCGCGTGGAAGGAAACAAGTTTGTTCCGTGACCGTCCGGTGGCTTCCATGGTCACGTATTGGAGGGGTCTCTACTGATCCAGGGCATGCGATAGCCCCGAATGGTGCTTGAATCACCTCTGATGGTCACAAACCCCCTACTCCCAATACCCACTTGTTTTTTAGGGTATGATGTCGACCCTCTACCTAAAAAGGGGGTATTTACCATGGAAAGCCAGGCTTGCCCCCAAAAATACCCTAGAAAAAGGAAGGGTATCTGGAGTAAGGGGAACATGTACATGGTTTTCGGCTGCCATGGCTCCTTTTTCTGGCTCATCAGAAAACCGGCCAAGGATCGTGATCACCTCGGTGCGCCTGGGCCAAGGGGGCCGCAGCATCTTCAGCCTGCAGACCTTTGAGGACCGGGGGATGTCTAAGGCGGGCGTTTGAGCCACGGGTCGCGGGTCGTGAGCTGGCCGTGGTTGGGTTGGTTTCAAAGATCATTTGGCTGTCGGTCAAAACCAATGGTACCATTTTGGGGTAGGTGCATCACCCATTTTAGTCTATTTTAGTTGGGATTGGGATGTTCACTGGGGGTGCGGGATTTTGACCCATGGCCATTTGCTGGGGTGATGCTCAAGGAAGGATATAGAGAGACCTGAGGCGAGCCAGGGATGCAGAGAACTCCCTGAAAAAGGATGAAGATGTTGTTTAGTTCCGAAACGTTGACGCAAAGCTGCCATAGTTTCACCTGAAGATCTAATAGTACGCAACGAGAGTTTCCCGAGAACCCAGGTTTCATCTCTGGATATTTCTGATTGATGAATAGGGGAGTGTCCCATTTTAGAGGGAATCCTTCACTTTTCGGACCACCCCCCCGCATATTTACCCATCCGCTGCGAACATTAGCTCCCCAGCAAGGGTTCCTGTACTCCGCTTCGGCACCACCAGCTGAGCCAATTTTGGACGAGGTTCGTCTTGGGGTGATGTTCAAAGGAATTCCTGGGATCGTTGAGGGAGATTTCGGTTAACCCCCCTCGACCTCTGAGCCTTTTACACCCGTATCCAGGGGGAAGCAAACCCTCCACCGGAAAGGACAAACCGGCAGACTGTCCACCCCGGTGAGGGATACTCAAATCAAGAAGCGAAGCAGAAGCAGCACATAGAACAAACAAAGAGAAACAACAAGCAACAAACAAACAAGGAGCAACCATGCAAAAAAAAGGAAATCGAGAAGCAGACACGCATGAACAAAAAGCGACTGGAGGTGGCAGACGAGCGCCTGCACTTTGAGGCCTTTTTTCAAGCCGGTGCCGTGGAAGTAGAGGGCACCCTACAAGGCGGGCCTTCGTGAGTGCGCTCAAAGCTGGGGGGCGGGTGGGGGATTTGGGGTGTTGAAAATGGATGCATTTTAAAGAGTCCAAAACACGGATACATTTGTGCCAATCCAAGATCAGATTTACCAGATGTAGAGGATCCGAATCCTTGCCAAGCTGAGTGTTGTTGGAGGTTTGTGAGGCATTTTGCTGGATGAAAGAGGCCGAATCGGCCAGCGATTTCCCAGGTCATCACTCGCTGAGTGACCCTTTGCTGCAGAACCTACCGGCTCGCGCCGGCGAGTGGGCGGAGGTGTCTCTCCGCTGCCTGGTGGAGCATTGGGCGCGATGGCAGGGGTCATCAGAGTCCCCGCCATGTGCCCCCCTTTTTTGTGGTTCTCATCACTTTAGGGGCAAAGGGAGCCAACAGAAAGCCAACTGTTTGGGGGGATTTTGGCGGCCCCCACATGTTGAGGAAGTGCATATTTTCCCATTGCCTCTTTCCGGCGAATTGAGCTTCCCTTTGGTGTGATGTTGGAGCTACATCAGCCGGCATCCCCACCTCCCAGAGGTGTGTAGGGGATGGTCCCTTCCAGCCGTACATTTTCCTGGGTGTCCGGAATGCAGAGTGCCGAATCCCGCAACTAAAAATAGTACAAGTCTGATGTGGGTCTTTTTCTAGAAGTACGCACGATGTGGATAGTCACTGATCAACACCTGGCATGGTTCCAAATCTCGAATAGTTTCTGATGTTTTGGGCTGCCCTGAGCGTGTCATTTTTTGGGGATCGCTTTTTTGGGTTTGAAGGGAAAGGGGACTCTGGACTTACCCACACCCCCTTACAATTGGAATTGGGGGAGGGGGATGACCCCTAGAATTCCAGCTGCATGGTATTGGGGGACCCACCATCCCCCCTCCCCCCTCAACGTACGTAGCGGGGATGTGGACTTCTTCTTGAGTTCCCCCCCAAGAGACAAGCCCAACTCGTGGCTCTCGATGCGAAGGCCTTTCCTTCTCGCTGGCATTGGCTGAGGGGGGCGCGCCTCGGCCGAATGCAGAACTCATTCTGAATGAGTCCTATGGTTGTTAAGGTCCAAAAGGGCCCAGACCTGTAGTGGCACCCTTCGCAGTTCCATCTAAAAACTGATGCTGTTAGGGTTGGTTCCGCATACCTGTATGGGAATTTGCTTGGTCTTTGAGGGTATCCTTTTCAAGGGTGGTACAAGGGAAACCGAAAGAATTTTGGAGCTCCAAATCTCTTAGCCACGCCTTGGCGCTTCTTTCACAAAGCACTCAAAAGGCGCCGCCCTCGTCAGGTGAGCCACAATCGGAACCCAGGTAGTTGAAGCGTCAAGGACAGTCCCAAGCAGAACTCTGTGCAGGCGCCTTGGGAACATCTTGGCTCTGGCTGAGGTGCTGCTGGTGACCTCCCGCGGCCTGGGCGCCTACCTACTGAGTGCAGAGAAGGCCCAGGTGAACCACTCCGCGCCACTGGAGGCTCAGGCGGGGCTGCGGGAGGCCCAGTTGCCCACTGGGGCCCGGTGGTTCTTGTGTTGTTGTTTGTGCTTTTTTGGTGGGGGTGTACCCTGGAAGGAAGGGGGTGGCGAGGTGGTGATCCCCTCAGTTGGCCAGTGGTGAACTCCTCAATGTCCCCCTTCGGACCTTCAAGTGCCAACTTTCGCGGTGTATTGCCCCTTTTGAAGGCAAACTCCATGTCTGCGGGAGCGCATCCATGCTTTAATCATAAGCCTTGTGAGGAGCTTAATCTGTTGGCCTTAAGCAACCCAATTGGTTTACCTCCCAGCCGGGTCCTTTGATGAACACAGACCTCCGGGAGGTATGATGAAGCATTTCCCCAATGTTTTTTCAGAAGCATTAGAGGCAGGGCATGAGAAGTTACCCCCATTCTGAGGGGTGGCGCAAGAGCCATTGATTGGCATCCTGGGGCTGTACCTCAAGAGCTCACACCAGGTTGGCGCTTCCTACCGACGCCTCATTCTTCAGCCAGTGGGCGCGATTTCCGGCTTTCTTTGCCCCAATTCCCTCAGTCAACCACCGACTGGCCGATGGGGGGCGGGGCTGCCGGCGATTCATTTGCAACCCACTCGCTGGTTGCAACTCTCGAACGTGTTTTCGTTGAGGGTACCCTTTCAGGTTAGTTTGAATGCAGTTCAAGTCATGTTGAATATGTGCCTACGATCAACGTTTTTTTTGAACCACAAGGGGCCCATGGTTTGGTTTTGGCTGCACTTGCCGGAGACGTCTGAGACGCCAATCTCCGTGTCGCCTCGCCAGGTCAGCAGCAGAGGCGACCATGTCTTGGAAATCCGCTTCTCCGGCAACGGCACGCTCATAGAGCCCGGTCAGTCGGCGGTCTGAACTTGGACTTGCGTGTTTGTGTGTGTGTGTTTGTTTTTCGGAATGGCCTTCTAGAGGTTTGCTTGGCTGTTGGTCTTTTCAATTGATTTCCTGATCAGGTCGCCCGGTTTGGGAAATGAGCCGGTGAGGGCAGTGTTTCCTGGCGGCGCAATGCCTGGGTCTCGCGTGAGGTGGGTGGAGCTGAAATTTCAGGCGGTGCCCACTGCCCTGGCGAACACGTGGCAGGTGGACACCTACCACCAGGAGGGAGTGCGCGTAGTGTGCCTTCCGCGGGCCGGGAACAGATCCAGGTTTGATGGTATCGGAGTTCATTTCTACATGTACATGTTTATGCGATAGTAAACAAATAAGAATATCTTAATGTGTGTGGGAATGCCAGTGCGACGACATATGCAAGTTGTCTTTTAACTGTGTGTTGCGCACTTGTTTCCATATTGCCATATAGTCTTCAGGGTAAGCCATTCCACTGGGACCGAAGCCACAGACCTTGAACTGTTTTGCCAGGGCGTGCTGAGCAACACCAATGACGGCACCTTCCAGGCGCGTGGTGCCTGTGCCAGGTGTGTCTGAATGACACCTGGGTTTCAGACATGGATGAATGACTTCCGTCTTGCTCTATTTTTTTGTTTGGGGTGAGGGGGTGGAGGGAGTCCGAGGGAGGGGAAGGCCAAGGGTATTGCTATGTCCGTTGGCTCCCTGCCAGGTTGGCAGTCCGGCTTTTGCATACCTGGAAACCTGGAAGCAGGGCCAAGCAGGGGAACACCCTGGCAGCGGTCAAATGAAGGGGGTTGTCCCAATATCACTCAGGGCTTCGCTATGATCACTTTCTTCAGTTAGGGGTCCCACCAGCTCCACACGTAAGTCGCCCGGCATCCCTTTAAGCCAAGCAACCAAAAGAGCTGCCCTCCCCCCCCCAACCAAAAAAATACAAAAGAAACAATAAAAACAAGCGAAGCTCCCATGATGTGACCTCGTCAAAAGTACTGTCAACACGGTGGTTTACGGAACCACCTTGTCCCAAAGTGAGTTTGAGGATCCTCCAAAATATGTGCTCAATCAAGTACCCCTGAATTGGTGGTTGGATTGGGGCTTTGAAGCCCAGCTTTTTGGAGTGAAGTGATTCAAGGGAAACCAGTCAGGGGTCCCTACATTGTCCTTTTTGGGTGGCTTTGAACCCTAGCTGATTGGCTCATAGGTCAGGTTCCCAAATTCCCTTATCAGGTCCTGATTGTCCAAGAAACAAAGAAAGGCCGGACTTTTTTGTTTTTTGGGATCCACTCCTCCACTCGAGGGTTCCTGCTGCCATTGCCGCATCACTCGGCCGACAGGGCTTCCGCCCAGTGGTGGTGCTGGAGGTGGAGCTGGCCCCACGGCGCAGCCCGCCGGGGGCCCTCATCGAGGTGCAGCTCAAGGCGCGGAGAGATTCAGCGCGCGTGGGGGTCCCGTGGCAAAAAACGCAGCGGGGGAACCAGCCGAAGTGTCCCTGGTTTGTTTTGCAGGCCAGAGGAAGCTAGTTAACTAGTTGTACTTGAGGCTCAAATTGCACAGCAGCAAGGGAATGCACCGATACCCCCGCCACCAAAGCCTGGATGAACATCCCCACCTTTTGAGTCACCTGGAAGGGGGGAAGGGTGTTTTACACATCAAAGCCACGGCTAGGTCTCTGCCAGTGGGGTCCTTGAGCCCACCACGCAGCTTACGCTGGTGGCGCCCGAGGGCTTTTCCCTGCCCCCGCTCTGCGGGGAGAGCTGCGTCTTCGGGGAGCCGTTTGAGGCATCACTCCGGGAGAGTTTCCTTGTAGCAGGCGCTTTTTGGATGTCTCCTTTCAACCCTGAAAGAGTTCATGCAGTAGAAAGATACACCTAGGCATCAACATAGTAGAAACACTCTTGACAGCTGGTAAAGTTGGCCCTTGAAATTGGCCGAAATGTTCCTTTTGAACAACTTTTTCTTTTTTCTTTGTTGGGTTCTGGTTTTGGGATGGCCCCTTGTCTTGGTATGGACGTAAATGTAAGGGCTCCTACTACGGAACCACCACCAAATTTTCTGTTTATCTGCTGTTGGGAGAAATCTACCTGGGTTTCATGTCCAAGCATGGCTGATGTTGGACGAGGTTGCAGGGCGCACTGGGCAAGTCACTTGTTTCCACGCCCTTCTTGGGTCCTTCTCTTTTCCGGGTCCCAGGACCTGCAGCGCTGCAGAGTGCATCATTCCTGCCTCGTCACACGTTGTTGCAACAGTAGCTGTGCTGTTCTCAGCCGGCAAATGCGTTTCCATTCTTTGGAGTTGGCATTTGGCGCATGACTCGGCTTGCCTTAGCATGTTAAGTAGGAAGGCTATCGAGGGAAATCAACAGGAAACCACTCATCCGATATGTTTGGCTTGCAAAAACCCGACTTAGAGGTTGCATTTTTGCACTCTTTGCAGCCCCCCACGCACGCAGAAGCAGGATCTCTAAGAAGGGGCACTGGCGCTTTGATGAGTTGGGCCGCAACCTTTTCATGGTGGTTGGAAAGCCCACCCCCCACCCCCACCCCTGGCCAAATGTTTGTCGGGGCCGCTGAGTGGCGAGGATACGCTGCGGCCTACGGCCGCCATCACAGGGAGCAGCTTGTTTGATCGGCAGCTGCTCTTCAAAGTGAATACGCCCCTGCAGAGTCCCCAGGCGCTTTGCTCTTTCGCTTGTGGGCTTGGGGGATTTCAAGCCCTGGTTCTTGTTAAGAGCCGCCCTCTAGCCTCCAAAAGTCTACCTGCTGAGAAATGCCCAAATATATGCGCGGATGAATCTGGAGGGTCAGGCTTTAGTGAAGATTAGTTCACTTCAGGGAGGTCCTTGGTTAGTATGGTCTTCCGGCCACCAAAAAAAAAAGAAGAAGAGAGGGTAGATTTGGGGGTAATATCAGAGACCGGGAGTACCAGGGTACCCCAAGCCATCAGCCCAACAAGAATCCAGAAGACCCTTCCCTTGGGCCAAGAAAGGATTTGGTCCTTTTTTGCAAATGGTAGTGGTTCCTTGGATTGGGCAATCCCCCAATGGGGGGAACACCCTCGGAAATAGAACTGCTATTTTTTTGCAGCACCAAGCCTCCGCAAATAGCAAAGCAACGGGCTAACCGGATTCAAACAAGAGGGAATCTTCCAGTTGCCTTGCTGTTGGTTTAATAAGCAGGTTTGCATCACTTCTAGCCAGCCAGAAAGGCGACGGCCCAGATCCGGGCGTTCAAACGCTTGTGTTTTGTCAGGACTTGTTTCATCAACGCTTTTGTCAGGCCCTGGTTGCCATTAAAATGACACTGCAAGGACGTGGTTCAAACCGCACCCTTGTCCTGTTTGCCCCGTGGCCAGGCGATTGCGCTACGATCCTTTCTATCCTATGCACATGGGTCACTTGATCAGATGAGGTTGAACCTGGCCCTTGCTTCCGGGTGTTTGTTGTCCGGGACCTAAGGCCTGGGCCAACATCCCTTGCGAATGGCCGAAACGATGGTGGACAGGGTTTGGATGCATGTTGAAGAATGCGCACGGGCGGAGTTTGCTGAAGGGCATGCCACCACTTGAGAAACAAAGATGCGGTAGATTGTTGAGTCTCGCAAGTAGGGAGCATTGCAGTTGCCTGCTTTTTGTTCGGGGCTGGTTTGCTTGCAATGTGCAGGGGATCAGCTGTAGTCGCCTCGATTTCTTTTGCAAGTTTCTCCCTTGCCCGAAGCCTTGAACTCTTGGTCCCATTTTGGCCCTTTGGGGTCCCTTTTTTCTGGAATCCACACCCATCGCAGGTGCTGACTTGGCTGGTGCAGGCCTGGGGCCCGGGGCCAAGTCTGCAGGCCTGGGGCCTGGCGGGCTTCAAGGCGCGCAAACCTCGCGTGCGAGCGGCCCTTCGAGCGCTGGAAGCGAACCCATGGGTGGGGGGGGGGTTGTGAGGCGAAAGGTGCCCGTTTGTCAGCTTGGTTTTACAGGGAAAATTGCGAAGAGCCCGCAATTTTTAGGGGCTCGCCTTTTTTTTGGGGGGGGTACATTCCCAAATGGTCGGCATTTGGTCCCGAAAACATAATTCTACTTTTGCTGGTTTCAAAGGCATCCAAAAGGACGCCAACCTTTCCTTTTTCTGTTCGGGGGGGTGACATACTTTGAGAAAAGCACCATGCATCACCTTTCTGCTGCCAACCGTATTTGTGCTTCTCTTTGGGGTGATGTTTAAAAGAGACCTCAGAACTAATTGTTCGGGCCGACCTGCTCACCAGAATCGTCCTCACCCTTCTCAGACCCATTCAGACCCCAAGAAGCTTCCAGGAGCCCTTGGGGGAAGGGGCCCGCTTCCCCGTTCCCAAGCTCCAACCGGCGCTTTTTGGGGTGGACAGGTGAATCAGATGCGGGACGCGCAGGTTCTCTACGGTGGTGTGCCAGGCCTCGGGCTCTGTGACCTGTACCCAAGATGCGCACGCCCACACACACACACACATGTTTATCTTTGTGCAAGCTGGGACCTGTTCCTTGGAACCCGGAATTTGGCCTGTTGAGTTCCTCGCCCTCTGGATATCCCTTGTATGGCTCTTTGGAGACGACCCCCGACGCCTCCAGAGGCTTGCAGAAGGCAGAGCTGGCCTTCGTCTTCACCGTGGAGGTAGAGGAGGAGACCGTTTCGAGTTCATTGGCTCCCCCTGAGACGCAACGGGGACAATGCCCGATCGAGGGCAGCGAAAGAAAAGCACCACGGCAGGTTTTTGCTATTTGGCTTCAGTGAGGTTGTACTATATGCCCTCCCACCAATTGACATGGAAGCTGAAAGGGGGTCTCTTGAAAAAGGGAAATTGTCTTCAGAACCCCCTCCATCGGCCAAAAGAGACGAGGAGATCCCGAAACCCGTGGCACGAGGAAGTGGCCCGAGGAAAAGGACGAACTACCAATCCAACCCGTAGCCAAGCACCTGCCACATATATATATATATATATATATATGGGTTTGTCCTTTTTTGGTGTGTTGAGTTGCTTCAAAAGGCAGAAGGTGGGACCTCCCCGAATCATACCCCCGAATCATACCCCCGAATCATACCCCCGAATCATACCCCTTAAAACGTATGCTGCAAGATGCTACTGTTCTTCTACCGTTTTGTGTTGTTCACTGTCTCCACAACAACCACCACCAGCGCTACCCAATACTACCACTACCACTGCCACTGCCGCTGCTACTACTACTACTACTACTACTACTACTACTACTCCTAACTACTACTACTACTACCACTACTACTACTACTACTACTACTACTACTACTGCTACTACCGCGACTACGAGTATTACTATCACTACTACCGCTGCTACTACTACTATGCTGCTTCTGCTTCTGCTTCTGCTACCCTTACTACTAACTACTACGACTACAACCGTTACTACTACTTCTACTACTACGACTACTACCTTTATTGCTACTACTACTACTACGACTACAACCTTGACTACTACTACTACTACTACTACTACTAGTACTACTTCTACTACTACTATTCCTGCTGCTGCTGCTGCTGCTGCTACTACTCACTACTACCACATACATCATTCTGAGTCTGTAATCAGTGCCGTTTTGCACCTAGCCGAATCATACCCGCGAATCATACCCGAATCATACCCGGACAATGAGCTTCCCCTGCCAAGGCTAGTGCTAAGTCTTTTTCACAGCGTCCGCACCACGACAGCCGCTGCTGCTTATGCTACAGCTGCTACCACTACTTCTGCAACTGCTACTACTACTACTACTAATACCACTACTACTGCTACTACTACTACTACTACTACTACCACAGCTACTACGAGTTTGTAATCAGTGCCGTTTTGCACCTAGCCGAATCATACCCGCGAATCATACCCGAATCATACCCGAATCATACCCGCGCAATGAACTTGCCTTGCCAAGGCCAGCGCCAAGTCTTTTCAAAGCTTCCGCACCACTACGTCGCATTGTATTGGGAGAAGGGGTCTGCCTATTTCAACACCAGCCTCTAAGCCTCTAAGCCTCTAAGCCTCTAAGCCTCTAAGCGCCCAAGCCTCTTACTACTAATCAACAGCCGCGCAAGCCTCTAAGCCTCTAAGCGCCTAAGCTTATAAGCCTCTGCTCCCAGCGCCCGCTTAGAGGCTGAGAGGCGTGGAAGCGTGGAGGCTTGCGACTTGGGCCTCTACGAAGCCTCTAAGCGTCTAAGCGCCTATTCCAAGCGCCTAAGCCTCGAAGCGCCTAAGCGCCCAAGCCCCTATTCCAAATGCCTAAGCCTCTAAGCCAAGCCTCTAAGCGCCAAAGCGACTAAGCGCCTGAGCCTCTAAGCGCCTAAGCCTCCAAGCAGCGTGGCGGCTGGAAGACTTAGAGGCTTAGAGGCTTAGGAGCGTGGAGGCTGGATGGCTTAGAGGCTTAGAGGCTTAGAGGCTTAGAGGCTTAGAGGCTTAGAGGCTTAGGAGCGTGCAGGCTTGCGGACCTAGAGGTTCAAAGGCTTTGGAGCTTGCAGGCTCAGCGGCTGAAAGGCTTAGAAGCTGACAGGCTTGGAGACTTAGAGGCTTAGGGGCGTGGCGGCTGGAAGACTTAGAGGCTTAGAGGCTTAGGAGCGTGGAGGCTGGATGGCTTAATTAGAGGCTTAGAGGCTTAGGAGCGTGCAGGCTTACGGACCTAGAGGTTTAAAGGCTTTGGGGCGTGCAGGCTCAGCGGCTGAAAGGCTTAGAAGCTGACAGGCTTGGAGACTTAGAGGCTTAGGGGCGTGGCGGCTGGAAGACTTAGAGGCTTAGAGGCTTAGGAGCGTGGAGGCTGGATGGCTTAATTAGAGGCTTAGAGGCTTAGAGGCTTAGAGGCTTTGGAGCGTGCAGGCTTACGGACCTAGAGGTTTAAAGGCTTTGGGGCGTGCAGGCTCAGAGGCTGAAATGCTTAGAAGCTTACAGACCTGGAGACTTAGAGGCTTAGGGGCGTGGCGGCTGGTAGACTTACAGGGCTTAGAGGCTTAGAGGTGCTGGAGGGAGACTAGACGGAAATCCGGTGGATTCCCGCTTAAAGTAAGCTCTAAGCGCCTAAGCCTCTAAGCGCCTAAGCCTCTAAGCGCCTAAGCGCTAAGCGCCTAAGCCTCTAAGCGCCTAAGTCGCAAAGCGCCGAAGCTGCTAGGCGCCGAAGCCGCTGAGCGCCGAAGCCGCTAAGCGCCAAAGCCTCTGAGCGCCTAAGCCTCTAAGCGCCTAAGCCTCTAAGCGCTCTAAGCCTCTAAGCGCCTAAGCGCTAAGCGCCTAAGCCTCTAAGCGCCTAAGCCTCTAGCGCCTTTGCCTCCAAGCGCCTAAGCCTCTAAGCGCCTAAGCCTGCTGAGCGCCGAAGCTCTGAGCGCGCCGCCTAAGCCTCTAAGCGTTTGGAGGCTTAGAGGCTTAGAGGCTTAGGGCTTAGGGGCTTAGGGGCGTGGAGGCTGGAAGGCTTGGAGGCTTTAGAGGCTTAGAGGCTTAGGGGCGTGGAGGCTGGAAGGCTTGGAGGCTTAGAGGCTTAGAGGCTTAGAGGCGTGGAGGCTGGAAGGCTTGGAGGCTTAGAGGCTTAGAGGCTTAGGAGCGCGCAGGCCTAGAGGCGCAAGGACTGCAAAGGCTTACAAGCTTAGAGGCTTAGAGGCTTATGCTTCAAGGGGCTTAGAGGCTTAGAAGCTTAGAAGCGTGTGGCGAATTTCAGACATTGTATTGGGAGAAGGGGTCTGCCTATTTCAACACCAGCCTCTAAGCCTCTAAGCGCCCAAGCCTCTTACTACTAATCAACAGCCGCGCAAGCCTCTAAGCCTCTAAGCGCCTAAGCTTATAAGCCTCTGCTCCCAGCGCCCGCTTGAGAGGCTGAGAGCGCGCCTGGAAGCGTCTGCGCCTCTAAGCCAAGCCTTAAGCGCCCAAGCCCCTATTCCAAATGCCTAAGCCTCTAAGCCAAGCCTCTAAGCGCCAAAGCGACTAAGCGCCTGAGCCTCTAAGCGCCTTAGGAGCGTGGAGGCTGGATGGCTTAATTAGAGGCTTAGAGGCTTAGAGGCTTAGAGGCTTAGAGGGAGGCTTAGGAGCGTGCAGGCTTACGGACCTAGAGGTTCAAAGGCTTTGGAGCTTGCAGGCTCAGCGGCTGAAAGGCTTAGAAGCTGACAGGCTTGGAGACTTAGAGGCTTAGGGGCGTGGCGGCTGGAAGACTTAGAGGCTTAGAGGCTTAGGAGCGTGGAGGCTGGATGGCTTAATTACAGGCTTAGAGGCTTAGAGGCTTAGAGGCTTAGGAGCGTGCAGGCTTACGGACCTAGAGGTTTAAAGGCTTTGGGCATTGGGGCGTGCAGGCTCAGAGGCTGAAAGGAATTGAAGCTTACAGACTTGGAGACTTAGAGGCGTAGGGGCGTGGCGGCTGGAAGACTTAGAGGCTTAGAGGCTTAGGAGCGCGCAGGCTTACGGACCTAGAGGTTTAAAGGCTTTGGGGCGTGCAGGCTCAGCGGCTGAAAGGCTTAGAAGCTGACAGGCTTGGAGACTTAGAGGCTTAGGGGCGTGGCGGCTGGAAGTCTTAGAGGCTTAGAGGCTTAGAGGCTTAGAGGCTTAGAGGCTTAGGAGCGTGCAGGCTTACGGACCTAGAGGTTTAAAGGCTTTGGGGCGTGCAGGCTCAG